CCAAATTTGGAAAACGTAGATGCTACAGTGCTGCTGCAATGAATTTGCATACTTACACCTAGTGGTGGGTCCGGTCCCGCTCCGATGTCGATTCAATTCTGGTACCTCCATCCTCATACCTTACCCCTTACCCCTACCCTACTCTACCCTACCTTACTCACCCAACTCCACCCGCATACCCATTTTTCCCTATAATGACCCTACCTGGCCCCACCCCGATCCACCCTACCCTATCGCCACCCCCTACCACCTCGACCCCACCCTAACCCTACCCCCACCAGTATATTACCCCTTACCCCTTACCCCTTACCACATGCCCCTACCTCGGCCCCACCCCACCGCCATCCTACCCCCACCCTCGTACCGCCATCCTACCCCCACCCTTCCGCCATCCTACCCCCACCCTACCCTTCCCGTACCTCGGCACCACCCCGATCCACCCTACCCTACCGCCACCCCCCTACCACCTCAACCCCACCCCAACCCACCCTACCCTACCCCCACCCGTATATTACCCCTTACCCCTTACCACATGCCCCTACCTCGGCCCCACCCCACCGTCATTCTACCCCCACCCTTCTGCCATCCGACCACCATCCTACCCCCCCCACCCTACCCTTCCCCTACCTCGGCCCCACCCAGATCCCGGGCCCACCCTATCGCCATCCTATCCCACTACCCCTACCTTACCCCAACCTCAACCCTACCCACTACCCCCACCCTTACCGCCATCCTACCCCCCCGCCCCCTACCCTACCTCAGCCCCACCCTGGTCCTGGCCCCACCCTACCGCCATCCTATCCCAACTCCATACCCTATATCTACCTTACCCCAAACCCTACCCACTACCCCACCCTTACCCCTAACCACGACCCTTACCCACCAACTACCCCCCACCCAACCACCTATCCCTAGACCTTACCACCCCACCCCAACCATACCCCTTACCCCACCCCCACCCATAACTTCCCTACCCCGACCCCTACGAGTAGGTATGGGTGGGTATGAAGGGTTGTGGGGGAGTATGGGTAGAGTGTAAGATTGTGGTAAGGGTAGGGGTCAAGGGTGTGGAATTGGAGAACTGGGTGAAAAAATTGATGAACATGTTTTCAGATTTGAAAATGGAAAGCTAAAAAATAGAAACAGAAAATTGGAGATAGAAAAACTGAAAAATAAAAATAGAAAATTGGAGAACGAAAAACAGAAGTAGAAAACAGGAAAATATCTCTGTTAGTAAACAGGCCCATACTCTTACAATTTGGAGAATTCAAGTTTTCATGATTCTAGGAAAACTAACCGAGATATTTTCCAGTTTTCCAGAAAACTGGAAAACAGAAAACAAGAAACGTGTTTACCAAAGAAATTCCTGGAAAACTGGAGAAGGAAAAAAGAAAAACGCGTTTACCAAATTGTTTTCCAAAACGGAAAAAATGAGACATGTCTCTCTTTTCCTTAATGATTTGGAGAAGTGACTTTTACTAGTTTTCCAAATTTGGAAAACGCAGATGCTACAGTGCCGCTGCAATGAATTTGCATACTTACACCTAGTGGTGGATCCGGTCCCGCTCCGATGTCGATTCCATTCCGGTACCTCCATCCTCGTACCTTACCCCTTACTCCTACCCTACCTTGCCCTACCCTACCTTTACCCACCCAACCCCACTCCGCATACCCATTTTTCCCTATAATGACCTTACCCCACCCCGGCCCCACCCCGATCCACCCTACCCTACCGCCACCCCCCTACCACCTCGACCCCACCCCGACCCACCCTACCTTACCCCCACCCGTATATTACCCCTTACCCCTTACCACATGCCCCTACCTCGGCCCCACCCCACCGCCATCCTACCCCCACCCTCGTACCGCCATCGTACCCCCACCCTTCCGCCATCCGACCACCATCCTACCCCCACCTACCCTTCCCCTACCTCGGCCCCACGCACCCAGATCCCGGGCCCCACCCTATCACAATCCTATCCTACTACCCCTACCTTACCCCGACCCTACCCACTACCCCCACCCCTACCCCTTCCCTACCTCAGCCCCACCCTGGTCCCCGGCTCCACCCTACCACCATCCTATCCCAACTCCATACCCTACCTCTACCTTACCCCAAACCCTACCCACTACCCCACCCTTACCCCTAACCACGACCCTAACCCACCCACTACCCCCACCCAACCCCCTACCCCTAGACCTTACCACCCCACCCCGACCATACCCCTTACCCCACCCCCACCCATAACTTCCCTACCCCGACCCCTACAAGTAGGTATGGATGGGTGGGTATGAAGGGTTGTGGGGGAGTATGGGTAGAGTGTAAGATCGTGGTAAGAGTAGGGGTCAAGGGTGTAGAATTGGAGAACTGGGTGAAAAAATTGATGAACATGTTTTCAGATTTGAAAATGGAAAACTAAAAAATAGAAACATAAAATTGGAGATAGAAAAACTGAAAAATAAAAACAGAAAATTGGAGAACGAAAAACAGACGTAGAAAAAAGGAAAATATCTCTGTTAGTAAACAGGCCCTAAAGTTCACCTAGTCCAAATACTTGTTAAACTAGATAAACCCCAAATGAAATATAGAGGAAATTAGGTTTATCCTGTACCAAAGGGATCATTAGAGTTGATGACATACTCACATACTAAGCATGGTAGGAAGTCTATCTGATAAACCAAAAAAAACAGATTACAGGAGGGACTTCAGATATTCAAGCTTCTTTACTACCATACATCATCTACACTTTTTGGCATCAACATTTTGTTTCCCTAATATATACCAGTTCATAATGCAAGCTGAAAAGAACATGAACATCCCTACACTATGTTGCACAGAAATGTGAAAATAATGAGGAACGGGAAACGAGAAATGTCTACTTTTGCTATAAAAAATTGTTTAGAGACTTTCTAAAGAGCTTCCGTAAAGTTTCCAAAACGGAAACGTATTCTTTCCCGAGAGTTTCCGTGCTACATAGCGCGCTACATGGCGGCGTACCGCTATATAAAAGATCACAGTAAAACAAATGAATTAATAACCGCGATATAAGAAAGGAAGAACCACACCTTTCGAAGTTCGGCCTGAATGAGTTTTTGTGCCACAAATTGAGGACTCCCAAACTGTCTCAAGCTTGTGATTCTCACAGGGCTCACCACAACCCCAACATTGTTTGATCCCTTGTTTGCATCTTCCACAAAGAGAACAGTAGCCCCAGCCTTATCAACCTAGCGAAACCTTTCAAGCCAGATTATTTCAGAATTTCAAATTCTCAATAGCCACAGACAAACAGCAACCACAATCGAAGAATAGAAACCTTAATCCAAGAAGAAGGTCTGAGAAGAGTGAAACCATCTTTCGGGTCGGTGTACCTTTCGAGCTCCAACACCTCTCTTCCTCCTTCAATGGCTCCGGAACTGTTCGGTAAAAGGGAAGCAGATAAAATAGTCCTGGCGAGCAATCTTCTTCTGCTCAGAACAATTGGGGGCAGCTGTTTTACAGAAACCGGAGTTGTATTTTGAGTCTCCTCAGTGCTAGGGCAAGAAATAAGAGAGTAAATCAAGCCAGGTCTGTGCACCAGAGATGATCCTCCTCTTCTACTCTTCAGTGGTGGGAATTGAGAGCCGGAGAGAGCACGCCAATATCCGGAAACTGACATCTAGGCAGCTAGACATACCCAACTAACTATCCTCCAACAATAAAACAAACCGGTTATAGGGGTGTGCACAAACAGAAATTTGAGTGTTTGAGTGAAGTACATACTTCTGGATATGGGTGAACAGAATAACCGAAAAACCGAAACCGATTGACAAACCGATCAAAACCGAAATCGACAAAAAGCGTAACAATAAAAATCGAAAGTGACTAATCCATCGGTTATTCGGTTTACGATTCATACTTTTGGCTCTAATCCATGTTTGATGTCTTCCTCGCTACCCTGATTTTTTATTGATGTGTTTGTATTACTGAATGATGATTTATTATTATAAGAAGAATGGCCTAGACTTCTAGATATTTTTGTGGAGTCATAGTGACTTACTAAGCGTAACCTTATCAGTTTTCTTTCTTCGCATGTACATATATTAAGGGTAAGCCAAGGCCTAGGAAGATGATGATGGAGTGGAACGCGTGCCGAAATGAGTTAACGTGAACGATCGTGGAAGCTTCTAGCTAGTTATTATTGTATTTAAGTATAGTTGTTATAATAAATTGATTATTGTTACTTTATTTTATTTTGAGGATTTGAAGTTTTAGCAAATTTCTGGATCCAAGTTGTTATCACATTTGCTGGTGATAACTATATTTTATTGAGTTTTTATTTGGAGTTGTTTTTAGTTATTTTGAGATTTTATCAGAGTTATTTTCTTAAATAGATGGCCGTTATATTGTAGTTATTTTTAAAAGTAGTAAGTTAGTGTAACGTTTCCTTTAACCCTGAGAGAGACGTTACAGCCCCCGCCGTCGCCGTCGCCGCCCCCCGCCGCCCCCGCCCCTGCTGCCCATGATGTCGCCGCCGCTGCCGCCGCCGCTGCCCCTGCTCCTGCCCCTGCTGCCGCCGCTGCCGCTGCCGCAACCGCCGCTGCCGCCACCGCCGCCGCCGCTTCCGCCTCCGCCACCGCCGGTGGTGCTGCCGTTGTTGTTGTTGTTGTTGTTGTTGTTATTATTATTATTATTATTATTATTATTATTATTATTACAATATATTATGAGTACCACCTTTTACATGTGTGGTCTCTACTAGTTGGCAGCATATAACAACATATCTATGTCGTCGGTTGCCATAAAGCTATTTCAAAAATCGTTCTCTTTTACTTTGCTTTTGTCAAACAATTGTATTTATTTTGAAAGTTTGAAGATTTGTGTACTCTCAAATTCTAAATTCTATTTTTACCCAAGGCCCCCCAACATTTTGAAATAAACCCATACTACGTACAATTTTCTATCAATGCTTTGAAACACTACCTCATTAAAAATAAAAAAATAAAAATCAATTAGTAAGAGGCCGGTTTTTCATGTTGAAGGATTTTGACCAAACTTCATATCAATTTCGCATGAGACAAGTGTTGGGTTTTTCTTTGTTTTTGACCCATGAGGAAAGCCCAAGTTTTGAGCCCATTAAAAGTCTTCTTTGACTTTCTTTTTGGGAGTTAATAATAGAATATGGGTTAGCTACTATCTCAATACATGAGGAGAGAAAGAGAGCAGCAGAAAAGAGAGCATAAGTCGTAAACATGAGCTGAGTGTGCTCATCCCGTTTTTCCAGCAGGCAGCAGCAGAAAACTTCCGTTTCCCGGAGATTGAACCGTTGGATCGTCGTGAATTTTGGACAGCAGCTTCACAGCATCTGAGCCAACATTCTGGACGGTGGAGATCGGGTTTTGAGGTCCGGAGGTCGGGTTTCGTTGCTCTGGACAGTAGCTATTTTTCTGGTGATATATTTCTTATCTTGGCTCTATTTTGATTCCATACACCTTGATGTGCTTACTTCCAAGGATATGATGACTTTGTATGCCTCTAGTATTATCTAGAGAAGACTTTGTACTGCTCCTTTGATGATGATAGTGGATTTAAGCGGCCAAAATGGTCCCGTGGTTTTTCCCTAGTTAACGGGTTTTCCACGCTAAAATTCCGGTGTTTGTGTGTGGTGTGTGCTTACTGTTTTAGCTGAATATATTGGTGTGTGGCAGCAATATTGTGTGTTCTAATTGTATTAAGAACACCCTATTTGTTTGCATCCTCAAAGGTTCATTCAAGTTGGGGAAAGTTTAGCCAAACGGAGATTAATTCCGCATTTTATTAGTTCCGTTTGTGGCTGTTTTTCCCATCAAATTGGTATCAGAGCCGAGTTCTTCTGTATCGAGTTAAACTTGTTTGAATGATGGAAGCAAACACAAGTAGGATGATCAATTTGAATGGTTCTAATTATCATGTTTGGAAAGGCAAAATGGAAGACCTACTTTATGTGAAGGATTATTATTTGCCTGTGTTTACTACTGATAAACCTGAGAGTAAAACAGATGCAGAGTGGAATATTTTGCATAGACAGGTTTGTGGGTATATTCGCCAATGGGTTGATGATAATGTTTTGAACCATATTAGCGGGGAAACTCATGCTCGCAGTTTGTGGAACAAGCTTGAACAGTTGTATGCTCGAAAGACCGGGAACAATAAATTGTTCTTAATAAAACAGATGATGAGCTTGAAATACCATGATGGAACTCCTGTTACTGATCATTTGAATTCTTTTCAGGGAATCATAAATCAACTTGCAGGAATGGGTATCAAGTTTGAAGATGAGATACAAGGCTTGTGGCTCCTTGGCACTTTACCGGACTCATGGGAGACTTTTAGGACATCATTGTCCAACTCTGCACCAGATGGTATTATCACCATGGAATTAGCTAAAGGCAGTGTTTTAAATGAAGAGATGAGAAGAAAGTCACAAGGTTCCTCTTCACATTCTGATGTCTTAGTTACAGAAAGCAGGGGGAGAAGTCAGAGTAGAGGTCCAGGTAACAAAGGAAAGCATCGAAGTAAATCCAAAGGAAAGTTTGCTGATTTTGAGTGCTATCATTGTGGTAGAAAAGGCCACACAATACGGTTCTGCAGGCAATTGAAAAAGGAGAAGAAGAAGAGCGATTACAACAATCAAAAGAACCATAAGAAAGATGAGGGTGGTAATGGCAATGTTGAAGTTAACACTACTATCGATGAGTTCCTTATTTGTTCTGATCTTGATATGGTCAACATTACACATGATGATTCCAGTTGGGTTGTTGATAGTGGTGCTACGTGTCATGTAACATCACAGAGGGATTTTTATTCATCTTACACTCCAGGTAACTTTGGTAATGTTAGGATGGGTAATAATGGACTATCAAAGATTGCAGGCATCAGAGATATTTGTTTGAAGTTTGACACTGGGATAGAGTTGGTTTTACATAATGTAAAACATGTTCCAGATATGAGACTTAATTTGATCTCCGCAGGCTTACTTGATGATGATGGTTACAGCAACAACTTTGGTAATGGAATATGGAAACTCACTCGTGGTTCTTTGATCGTGGCTAGAGGTAAAAGATGCTCAAAGTTGTACATGACACATCCGAAGATCTTCAAGGATAGGGTCAATGCTGTGGTGAATACTGACATGACTGATTTATGGCATAAGAGACTTGGTCACATGAGTGAAAAGGGGATGTCTCTTTTGTTGAAGAGAAATGTGTTACCGGGTGTGCATGATATTCATTTAAAGAAGTGTTCGCACTGTTTGGCAGGTAAACAGAACAGAGTTTCCTTTAAGAGCCATCCTCCTTCCAGGAAGGAGAGTATACTTGATCTGGTGCATTCTGATGTTTGTGGTCCTATGAAGACTAGGACACTTGGTGGTTGCTCCTACTTTGTCACATTCATTGATGATCACTCCAGAAAGGTTTGGGTTTATACCTTGAAATCTAAAGATCAAGTATTTGAGGTGTTTAAGCAGTTTCATGCCTCGGTTGAGAGACAGACTGGAAAGAAGCTCAAATGTATTCGGACAGATAATGGAGGGGAATACATTGGCCCCTTTGATGCTTATTGTAGAGACCATGGTATTCGACATCAAAAGAGTCCTCCCAAGACACCGCAGTTGAACGGATTTGCAGAGCGGATGAACAGAACTTTGATGGAGCGTGTCAGATGTTTGTTGTCACATGCGGGCTGCCAAATTCATTCTGGGGAGAAGCTTTGAATACAACGGTACATGTTATTAATCTAACTCCTTGTGTTCCTTTGTCTTTTGATGTGCCTGACAGGGTTTGGAGTGGCAAAGATGTCTCTTACCGTCATTTGAGGGTCTTTGGATGCAAAGCTTTTGTGCACATTCCTAAAGATGAAAGATCAAAGCTTGATGTGAAGTCCAAACCATGTGTTTTCTTGGGTTATGGCCAAGATGAGTTTGGTTACAGATTATATGATCCAGTCCACAAGAAACTTATTCGAAGCCGAGATGTTGTGTTTGTGGAAGATCAAACCTTGAAAGATGCTGAGAAGAAAGATACAGTTCCTCAACATAATGATGATGTTACTGATTTGGATCCAGTGCCTCCTCAGCATGTAGAACCACCTCTTGATAATGATGTTCAGAATGATGAACAACATGATACTGATGTTCCAGAACAGCCAGAGGTGGATGAAGAATTTCATTCAGAGATACCAGTACCAGACGTGTCACCATTTGTCCCACTTAGGCGGTGTACAAGAGATCGTCATCCTTCCACCCGTTTTTCAGCTAATGAGTATGTCTTACTCACTGATGGGGGAGAGCCTGAGTGTTATGCAGAGACCATGGAAGATGAGCACAAAAGGGAGTGGGTTGAAGCCATGCAAGATGAGATGAATTCCTTACATGAGAATAATACATTTGAGTTGGTGAAGTTGCCTAAAGGCAAGAGAGCTTTGAAGAACAAGTGGGTCTACAAAGTGAAGACTGAAGAGCACACCTCACAACCTAGGTACAAGGCTAGATTGGTGGTCAAAGGGTTCAGTCAGAGAAAGGGTATTGATTTTGATGAGATTTTCTCTCCGCTCGTGAAGATGGGATCTATTCGTGTTGTTCTGGGTTTGGCAGCCAGCCTTGATCTTGAGGTTGAACAGATGGATGTCAAAACAGCTTTCCTTCACGGTGACTTGGATAAAGAAATCTACATGGAGCAACCTGAAGGGTTTCAGGTTAAGGGAAAAGAAGGTTATGTGTGTAGACTTCAAAAGAGTCTTTATGGGTTGAAGCAAGCACCAAGACAGTGGTACAAGAAGTTTGAGTCAGTTATGGGGGAGCAAAATTACCGAAAGACTACTTCAGACCATTGTGTTTTCTTCCAGAGGTTCGATGATGATGATTTCATTATTTTATTGTTATATGTTGATGACATGTTAATTGTTGGCAAGAATGCAGAAAGAATTACTCAGCTGAAGATGCAATTGAGCAAGTCTTTTGCTATGAAAGACTTGGGGCCAGCAAAACAGATTCTTGGCATTCGGATCACTCGAGATAGAGCTTTGAAGAAGTTACACATGTCACAGGAGCAATACATTGAGAAGGTGCTTCGCAGATTCAACATGGACAAAGCTAAAGAGGTTAGTTCACCTCTTACTACCAACTTCAGGTTGACAGATAAAGATTGTCCATCTTCTGAGAAGAAGATTGAAGAGATGGATAGAGTTCCTTATGCCTCAGCTGTAGGGAGTTTGATGTATGCTATGGTGTGCACACGGCCTGATATTGCCCATGCAGTAGGTGTTGTTAGTCGTTTTCTGTCAAATCCAGGTAAGAAGCATTGGGAAGCAGTGAAGTGGATTCTCAGATATCTACGTGGTACTTCCAAATTGGGTATAACATTTGGAAATGGGGAGCCAGTACTTGTTGGTTATACTGATTCTGATATGGCAGGAAATAAGGACAACATGAAATCCACTTCTGGATATTTGATGACTTTTGCAGGGGGAGCTGTGTCATGGCAATCGAGACTGCAAAAGTGTGTGGTTTTATCCACCACCGAGGCTGAGTATGTGGCTGCAACAGAAGCTTGTAAGGAGCTATTATGGCTCAAAAGATTTATGCAAGAGATTGGCTTTATTCAACATCGCTATGTGGTTCTTTGTGATAATCAAAGTACCATTCACCTTGCTAAAAATTCTATGTTTCACAAACGAACCAAACATATTGATGTGAGGTATCATTGGATTAGAGATGCACTTGAAGACAAACTGTTTGAACTTGATAAAGTTCATACCGATGATAATGGTGCCGATATGTTGACGAAGGTTCTAGCAAGGGAAAAGTTGAAGGTATGTTGCTCCATCGCCGGTATGGCGAACTCTTCCTCATAAGTCAAAAAGGGGGAGATTTGTTGGGTTTTTCTTTGTTTTTGACCCATGAGGAAAGCCCAAGTTTTGAGCCCATTAAAAGTCTTCTTTGACTTTCTTTTTGGGAGCTAATAATAGAATATGGGTTAGCTACTATCTCAATACACGAGGACAGAAAGAGAGCAGCAGAAAAGAGAGCATAAGTCGTAAACATGAGCTGAGTGTGCTCATCCCGTTTTTCCAGCAGGCAGCAGCAGAAAACTTCCGTTTCCCGGAGATTGAACCGTTGGATCGTCGTGAATTTTGGACAGCAGCTTCACAGCATCTGAGCCAACATTCTGGACGGTGGAGATCGGGTTTTGAGGTCCGGAGGTCGGGTTTCGTTGCTCTGGACAGTAGCTATTTTTCTGGTGATATATTTCTTATCTTGGCTCTATTTTGATTCCATACACCTTGATGTGCTTACTTCCAAGGATATGATGACTTTGTATGCCTCTAGTATTATCTAGAGAAGACTTTGTACTGCTCCTTTGATGATGATAGTGGATTTAAGCGGCCAAAATGGTCCCGTGGTTTTTCCCTAGTTAACGGGTTTTCCACGCTAAAATTCCGGTGTTTGTGTGTGGTGTGTGCTTACTGTTTTAGCTGAATATATTGGTGTGTGGCAGCAATATTGTGTGTTCTAATTGTATTAAGAACACCCTATTTGTTTGCATCCTCAAAGGTTCATTCAAGTTGGGGAAAGTTTAGCCAAACGGAGATTAATTTCGCATTTTATTAGTTCCGTTTGTGGCTGTTTTTCCCATCAACAAGGAGGATTAGATTAAATAAGATGACATGATAAAAAATGGGAGGAAATTATCATGAATCCAAATACTCTAGCACTGCTTACGATGTATATGTGAGTGACGAGATGCGAAATACATGCCTGAGAAGGGGAGATGTGAGGAAATACATTGAGGAGAGAGATATTTGATGGAAGACAAATGGGGGATACACATGGATCTCAAACCTTAGAATGATGTGGTGTTTTTAGGGATGGCCGATAAATTACATATTTTTAATTATTGAAATTTGTAAATCTAATATAATCTCTGCTTATATAATAAACCACAACATACGTTAACTTCGTCCTTTTCCCGTCTACTTCTCACCCATTCCGTCAACGGAAGTTAACGCTTTTAACTCATAAACTTAGCTTTATTAAACTTTAAATAATTTCATTGTCTTTGAAATTCAATTGCAAGTTTACCATCGACAAACATGGCTGCATATTTTCCCCTTTGTAATCACACATCAACTTGTTATTCCAAAGAACTAATAAACATTAGAAAAAAGCATAACCATAGGCTCTAGCAAACTTTATCCACATGTTCTTGAACTTCACAATTGTTGTTTACATCAAACAAAAAGAAATCAACTTAATTGTTTTGTGCATGCAAGATTGATTGTGTTTAAGTGCAGGGCTATAAAACTATTACGAGTATTTCAGTCCGGTTATCAATGTTTCATCATGATACCAGTTTACGACAGTGGCCTGAAAACTATGAAGAAGTTTACAATTTCTGCCCTTAACTAATGCCTCCATACTGTTCCTCAAAATGCATCTGAGGAACTTTCTAAGTACAGTAGAAGACCTAAATGGACTTCCTTAAGACTTAAATGGAACATGAAAATTGCAACGATATTGATAAATTCACTTCTTTATAAAGCAACCGAAAAAGAACATTATCAAGATCATACTTGCACATATTACAAAGACATATTTCTCTGCACTACGCCTACAATTAAACACTCCCAAAGTTACTTCCTTTTACATTTTTTTCCCCTTCTAACAGTAGGTTGACAAATTCACATTTTATTACGTCACTAGTTTTCTTATTTATATGTACACAGGTTAGGGGATGTAAGATGTTAGAGACAGTTTCTTAATTTATTTTTGGAAACATGTTTCTTAATTTATTTTAAGAAACGCATCCTAATTGCCTTGGGGTTAGGATTTACTTCTCTATAAATACAAGCTCTCCCCCTTGTAATCATGGTGTGTGGATCCGAAAATAGCAATAATATTCCTGGCTTGGTAGCGCCCCCAGACGTAGTCATTCGTGGCGAACTGGGTTACCAAATTTCGGGTGTTCTTCTATTATTCATCGCGTGCGTGAGTTTAATTCCTAACAATTGGTATCAGAGCCCTGGGTTCGAAGGGAGATCTCACGATGACAGATAATACAAAGACACCGGTGATGCAGTTTGACGGAACTGATACGTTTGTAATTTCCGTATGTTTATTTACGTTTTTAGTTAGTTTTGATTGTTTAATATTTCGGAAATTACACACTTTCGGTGTAATAGTTTAGTTTGTTAAAATCTTGTAATTTGTTTAGATTAGGTTTATTCTGAGCTTAAACAGGTCCAAGATCAATCAAATGATCAATGGTGAAGGAAGGTGCAAGAGTACAAGACAAAAAGAAGGAAAAATCCTGATTTTGATCTATACTCGATCGAGTATATACATATACTCGATCGGGTATCTGGTTGACATTTCAAATCGGATCGGATCCGAAAACAAAGGAACATGCAGGAGAAGATTTTCCCACGTTCGAGTGTCTATACCCGATCAGGTATGCTTATATACTCGATCGGGTATGCATATAAAATCTACTCGAGTATTGATCGAGTATTGACCAAATTCTGATTTCTATACATACTCGATCGAGTATGTATACATACTCGATCGAGTACTCGATCCTGCACCTCAAAAAGCCTATAAATACACCTCCTTTCCTTCACTTTTAAAAACACCAATTCATATACACTCTTAAGCTCAGTTTAGAATAGCATTTCTCTATATTTCTTTTAGCATGTTTAGTCTCCAAATGAGGAGCTAAACTTCCATTTCTTGGTATTGCTCTTGAAGCTTGTTGATTATTAAAGTTGTGAGTTATTTTCTTAACTTCTTTTCCTTGAATATTAATTCTTCCTTGAAATACTATTTCTATATCAATGTTGGGGAGTGTTACTAAGATGACAATTAGTTAACATCTTGACATTGGTTTTAGTAATAGCTATTCCTTCCTCTATGTTAATATCGGGGAGTGTTACTAAGATGACAATTAGTTAACATCTTGATATTTAACTATAGTAGGATTCATTCCCTTTAATATTCTTCCTTGAGTATTAATTAATTCCTATTCATATTTCATATTAATATTTTGAACATTACTTAAAGGATCAACTAGTTTTGTTTCACATATTAATTATTACTAGAAACGATCAACGAACCGATGGTTAATCGTTGATAGTTTCACAAGTAAGTAACTTCGGTTTGTTAATGCACGGTCGTGGTTAATAAACTTAAGAGGGATTAATTTTGTTGGTTAAACCGAGACCGTTGTGTTAAGGTTATCAATCTCAATTGATTTCATCAAGGAGTTAAAAGATTAAATGCTACTATCAAGTCGGTATATGGCGTTGTTCTATACTTGACTAATAGTAAGGGTTATTAATGAACGGTTGTTGTTAATAACTATCCTCGATGAATTGGATATACTCCTCGATTGAGTATTCGAGAGGAAATAAGTTATAGATATAACAATGATCGACTAAAATATATCAACAAGTGGAAAATAGCAATGCCAAGTCACTTTTATCTTTGAATTAAATCCCACATAACTCGTTCATCTTCGTGTTTAATTTAATTAAATCACTCAACAATCAAAACCCCCCTTTACTTACTATTTATATAAAAAGAAAGTTATTCCTTTCCCTGTGGATACGAACTCTACTACGCTATACTACGTATAAGTGCTAGTATTGAATTTATTTTGAGTGCACTCACGACAAAGTGCACGTCAAATTTGGCGCCGCTGCCGGGGAAAGGCAATTTATTTTTCTTTTTATTCCATTTTTAAAAAAAAAAAAAAATAGTTGAAGTATAAAGATTTCTATTTCTTCTGAGCTTGTTTGAGTATATGGTAAGAACCCGATCTATAAACGAAATCATCTACCAAACAAACCCCCAAACGGAACAAGCCTTCGAGAGGTTTAGGAATTTATTTCCGAATACTTCTTCGGAGGAATCATCAAGTGCTAGTTCTCAATCTAGCGAGACCGAAGAGCCAATCACTATGGCTCACGAAACAAGAACACTGAGGGAGCTCACGGCTCCGAATCTAGATCAACAACCTCTATGTATCACTTTTCCAACTCTTGATACGGGGGTCACATTTGAGCTAAAATCTGGGCTCATTCATCTCCTTCCATCATTCCATGGCTTACGAGGGGAGGATCCAAACAAACACCTGTCGGAGTTCCACATTGTGTGCACAAGCATGTGCCCCAATGGTGTCTCCGAGGAGCAGATCAAACTGAGAGCCTTCCCATTCTCCTTAAAGGACACCGCGAAGGATTGGCTTTTCTATCTTCCTTCGGGAAGTATCACTACATGGCCACAAATGAAGAAAGCCTTTCTTGACAGGTACTACCCCGCTTCTATTTCATCATCACTCAAGAAGCAAATAAGCAACATCGAACAAAAAGATGATGAATCCCTATATGAATATTGGGAGAGATTCAAGAAGCTATGTGCAAGTTGCCCCTATCACGGATACACCGAACAAGATCTCATCCTCTACTTCTATGATGGTCTTGTGGATCAAGATCGTCGCATGGTGAATGCGGCGTGTGGAGGGGGCATTGTCAACAAAACCCCTTCACAAGCGAGAGATCTCATCTCGGAGTTGGCCGAGAACTCCAGACACTATAATGGACGGTCCTCAACTCGGAGGGTTATGGCGGCAGAATCCAACAACGCGTTGGAAAGTCAAGTGAACGGCTTGACGAGTCAAATGGCCGGCTTGACTTCTTTGGTTAAGGATTTCCTTCTAAAATCCAAGACCCAAGAAGTCAAGGTCTGCGGTATCTGTACACAACAAGGGCACCCCACGGACTCATGCCCAACTCTTCAGGAAGACACCACAGAGCAAGTCAACGCCTTGGGTTTCCAAGGCCACCAACAAAGGAGGTATGACCCGTTCTCAAATTCTTACAATCCCGGATTGAGGGATCATCCAAACTTAAGGTATGGAAACCCTCAACAAGCTAACCCACCTTCTCAATCGAGTATGTCTACGGAAGACATGATTCGAACTCTTGCTACTACCATGGGCACCTTACAACAAAACGTGGTGCAATTTCAACAAGAAACAAAGTCAAGCATTCAAAATTTGGAAACTCAAGTTAGCCAAATTTCGAATGCTGTAAATCGACTTGAAGCAAGAGATTCGGGTAGGCTCCCGTCCCAAACTGAGCAAAACCCAAGGCAACAAGTCAATGCCATCATGCTAAGGAGTAGCCCGGAATTACAAACAAAGGAAGCTTAAAAAGAGGAGATTGACCACAAGGAGGAGGAGCCAACGAAGAAAAAATTTCCTCCACTATCATCATATGAACCAATCCCTCCATTCCCTGAGGCATTGAAAGACACAAGGAAGCTAGAGAGTGATCGGGACATCTATGAGACCTTCGCAAATTGTGAGGTAAATATCCCACTCTTTAAACTGATCAAAAATGTTCCCCGTTATGCAAAGTTCTTAAAAGAACTATGTATAATGAAAAGAAAAGATAAATTAAAGGGGCAACAAAAGGTTGAAGTTAGTGAACAGGTCTCGACCATCTTTCAAGAAAAATTTCCAAAAAAATGTGGCGACCCGGGCATGTTCACTATTCCTTGCACGATAGGAAACACCACATTTCCTAAGGCCTTACTAGATTTAGGGGCATCTATAAACGTCATTTCTTATTCCGTTTATAAATCCCTACAACTTGGCCCACTACATCAAACTGGTGTGGTGATTCAACTAGCAGATCGTTCTATTACCTACCCGAAGGGTGTATTGGAAGATGTGCTAGTAGAAGTAGAGAATATGGTTTTTCCCGTCGATTTCTACGTCCTCGAAATGGGGAATGATGACCAAATAGCGCCCATCCTTTTGGGAAGACCCTTCTTAAAGACCGCAAAAACAAAAATCGACGTGTCTAGTGGTTCATTAACTTTAGAGTTCAATGACCAAAAAGTAGAGTTCAATATCTTTGACTCTACGAAAAAACAAATTAAAGATCAATTTCTTTGTTCTTTAAATGTTTTTGAACCACCAACGCCAAATGCTTTAACTGAGTCGGGAACAAAGAAGAAACATCGGCCTTACTGGAAAAGGCTTAAGAAAAGAAATGAAGGAAGGGATGCTCACGATCCCACATAAAATAAAAATATAAATAAATAAAACGTCGTGCCACGACGTTAAATAAGGCGCTTCTTGGGAGGCAACCCAAGTCAATTAGTTAGATTTTATTTCTTTTTTGTGCGAATTTGAGAGAAAAGAGAGAGAGGGAACTAATCACATATTTGTTTTGAAGAAGAAGAAAATGCAGGTTTTGAAGTGTCTGGGGTCATACTCGATCGAGTATATGTTGATACCCGGTCGAGTATGAACTGAAATAAGAAGAAGAAAAAATTCTGTCTCCAGTACTCGATCGAGTACAGGTTTATACTCGGTCGAGTATAACGGGAAAAACAATTTAATTTAATCCCTGCCTCCAATACTCGATCGAGTATATGTTGATACTCGGTCGAGTATGCTCAGAAAAGCCAGTTTTCCCAACCCCTGTCTCCGGTACCCGATCGGGTATACAGGGATATTCGATCGGGTACCCCTGCGATTATAACCCCAAATGCACTCCAAAACACTTCATCTTCCCCAAACACACCCAAATTTTCGAACCCCTCTCCCCCAAACTCCATTTTTGGATCTTCTCTTTTCCATATCTCACTAAATCCTTCACCAAATCACCCCATTCCACCACCAAAATACTCCCCTCACTCCCCTCTACACACTCATACCCACAAAATCCCTTTTTCCCAAATATCCAAGAAATCCAAAAACCCTACCCCCATTCGAAATTTGGGTATTTTGAGCTCCAAAACCATCAACAATGGCACCGAGAAAGGACAAAGGGCAAAGCTCTAGAGCCATGGCACCCATCCCGGGTTTCGAGGACCTCATCCCCGCCGACAACGATCACCGGGCTCGACTCCTCACAACCATAAAAAGGAAGGTAAAACCGTCTCGTTTTCTATGTCACGATGCTCTACGTGAATTAGGAGTGTATAAAATGATGAAGAAATTCTTTCATGAGTTGAATATGGACCTTGTTTTCAAAATGAAATACAACTCAAATGAAAGAATTATTTATGAATTTATGAGCTCGGTGCACTTTGAGAGCAATGAGGAGGATTTTAGGGATGATAGACTCGAGTTTCGTCTTTTTAACCGAAACTATTCAATAACGAAGCTCGAGTTTGCTGAACATTTTGACATCCCGGTGCCCTACGAGAGATCCATCTCGGATACCACTATCTTTGGGCACTCCCTATGGACAAAAATGACCGGGGAAGTGAACTTTAACTCCTCCCAAATGTATATTAGTCATGTCCAACACCCCGTCCTCCGGCTATTCTTGAAATTTTTAGCAAATTGTTTGCTTGGACGCCCCAACAACCACCACACGAGGATTGGGGACGTATGTTTGATCTCCGTAGCCCTTTTCCGGCGTCACGTAGACTTCAATCTATGTAATCTCATTTGGGCACATCTAAAAAAGGAAAGCATGGCCAAAGGTGCCATTGTCATGAGTGGGGTAATTATGCACTTGGCAAGCAAGTTCGGGTATACGGATAACTCTCCTATACCCGACTATTGTTTGATGGACATAGGTTGGTTAGGCCGCTCGGGATGCACCTCTTTTTCCCATACGGTATATATTGGGGACCAACCGAAGAACATGTATAATTGGATCATACACACCCAACCGGTCCAATATTTCCTAATGCCAAGCCCGGACACCCCCAAACTACGCTACAAACCGGAGTTCGAGGAACCTCACTACCTATTCCCTCACGCCCTTCCACCACATCTCCAAGAACCCGACGCCCAAAACCCCCCCGAAGATCAACACGACCAAGAGCAACAAGAGCACCAAGAACCCGAGGATGCACCTCACCCCATGCTCGAATACAACCAAGCCCCACCACCCACCGATTACTTCCAACAATTACTTGACGGGTTCGAGAGAGTTACCAATGAAGTTGGTAAGTATCGGGAAGAACAAAGGGCAGGATTTCAAAGAATAGAAGAGCAAAGGGCCGAAGACAACCGACGGTATGAAGAGGATCAACGTAGGTTCTATGGACCTATGTACTCTTACATGGCTCATCAAGGCCAATTCCACACCATGGCTCAACCACCACCACCACCCTCTTGGTATGACCCCACTCAATGGGGTAATTTTGGAGGATCTAGCTCCGGGGGTGGAGGTTTTGATGGAGGGGATGACGGCGTCGACACCCACATGGGCGATGGGAGCTTTGGAGGAGGCTTTGGAAGCGGCTTTGGAGGCGGCTTCTACGGCGGAGAAGGCGGACACTAGGGACAGTGTTTCAACTAAGTGTGGGGGAGGAGATTACTCATGGTATGTAATTTCATTTTCTATCCTTTTACTATGCATGAATATCTTTTACTCTTTGTAAACAAAAAAAAAAAAAAAAAAGAAATGGATAAAAGAATTGAAATGCTAGTTAGGTTGAAAACCCAAGAATGGGCAATCTAAGCAAAAATGGCTTATAAATTTTTTTTTTTTTGAGTGAGCTTGGAAAGGATGGAAAAACAAAAAGACATGCTAGGATGAAAACCTGAAAAGGCTCCTAGGCAAAATGAGAGATATGAGAGAAATATTTTTTCTGTGTGCAGGAACTCACTTGATCTCTAAGAGGAAGAAGAAGAAGAAGAAAAAGGAGAAGAGGAAGAGAAGATGAACACTAGAAGACCATAAAACCCAAGATGATATTTAGCATTAAAACTCATATTTTATCCTTGGTGGTCTTTGTGTTTTTATCTTGTTGAATCTATTGGAACTCGGGAGTCTTTACACTTGTAAACATTGAACTTTACTCGAGGACGAGTAAAGAATTAAGTGTGGGGGAGTTGATACGTTTGTAATTTCCGTATGTTTATTTACGTTTTTAGTTAGTTTTGATTGTTTAATATTTCGGAAATTACACACTTTCGGTGTAATAGTTTAGTTTGTTAAAATCTTGTAATTTGTTTAGATTAGGTTTATTCTGAGCTTAAACAGGTCCAAGATCAATCAAATGATCAATGGTGAAGGAAGGTGCAAGAGTACAAGACAAAAAGAAGGAAAAATCCTGATTTTGATCTATACTCGATCGAGTATATACATATACTCGATCGGGTATCTGGTTGACATTTCAAATCGGATCGGATCCGAAAACAAAGGAACATGCAGGAGAAGATTTTCCCACGTTCGAGTGTCTATACCCGATCGGGTATGCTTATATACTCGATCGGGTATGCATATAAAATCTACTCGAGTATTGATCGAGTATTGACCAAATTCTGATTTCTATACATACTCGATCGAGTATGTATACATACTCGATCGAGTACTCGATCCTGCACCTCAAAAAGCCTATAAATACACCTCCTTTCCTTCACTTTTAAAAACACCAATTCATATACACTCTTAAGCTCAGTTTAGAATAGCATTTCTCTATATTTCTTTTAGCATGTTTAGTCTCCAAATGAGGAACTAAACTTCCATTTCTTGGTATTGCTCTTGAAGCTTGTTGATTATTAAAGTTGTGAGTTATTTTCTTAACTTCTTTTCCTTGAATATTAATTCTTCCTTTAAATACTATTTCTATATCAATGTTGGGGAGTGTTACTAAGATGACAATTAGTTAACATCTTGACATTGGTTTTAGTAATAGCTATTCCTTCCTCTATGTTAATATCGGGGAGTGTTACTAAGATGACAATTAGTTAACATCTTGATATTTAACTATAGTAGGATTCATTCCCTTTAATATTCTTCCTTGAGTATTAATTAATTCCTATTCATATTTCATATTAATATTTTGAACATTACTTAAAGGATCAACTAGTTTTGTTTCACATATTAATTATTACTAGAAACGATCAACGAACCGATGGTTAATCGTTGATAGTTTCACAAGTAAGTAACTTCGGTTTGTTAATGCACGGTCGTGGTTAATAAACTTAAGAGGGATTAATTTTGTTGGTTAAACCGAGACCGTTGTGTTAAGGTTATCAATCTCAATTGATTTCATCAAGGAGTTAAAAGATTAAATGCTACTATCAAGTCGGTATATGGCGTTGTTCTATACTTGACTAATAGTAAGGGTTATTAATGAACGGTTGTTGTTAATAACTATCCTCGATGAATTGGATATACTCCTCGATTGAGTATGTTAGGCCCCTCAGACTTTGATCAAATATAGTTTTGATGATGCCATCCTCCCTTGATGTTTAAATTCTCTTGTGTGATCATTGTGTGAACTGAAGTATGGTCCAAAAAGGAAGGAAGGTGACAAAATTAGGAATATATAAATTGTGTCACAAAATAAATATACTGGAAATATAAAATGCAATAAGGTAAATTCCTACCTTTCCAGGATATTCAAATCCAATCAGTATATTTATTTTTGTTACAATTTTATTATTGTCACTAGTAAAATTGTGACTAATCTTACATGTACATCTTATGTACAAAATTAATTTTACTGGAAATATAAAATGCAATAAGGTAAATCTTTCTTTACCTTAAAAAGGATATTTAAATCCTTCCAGTACAAATAAATTTTGAACATAAGGATCAAAGTCACAAATTTTACTTGAAAAGCTGTATAATCACGAGACACTCCAGAGTTGCCTGTGAAGACAAAATCCCACTAGATGGTGAATAGTGCGTAAAAGAACCAAGGAATGGGTTTACATTTCCTGCAAAGCAAGTTGCTCCAATTGCGTCTGAAGATAAGCTGCTCCAACACAAGAAGACGAAAGTACAAGAAGCCTCAACGACATAGATTAGATCCTCTCAACCAACGGAGGAGATTAATCAACCAGAGATGCCTATAAATTCGGGCATAAGCATGAGAAGAAAAAACAAGCTCCTGAGTTTACTAAGCAGAGAAATCATACTACACAAAGAAGATATCCAGCAAAAGAGAAAGTGTTCATTAAACTCTGCTCTCTGCTTAGACTCATGCTTCACTAAACCTTCTAGAACAGAAATCCTCATTGATACACTCAGAAAGTTTAGTTTTTAGTTGGAGGCTAGAAATTTGTTTCATATTGAAACTGTTGTAAACACTTATAAGGATAGCGTCGCCTAAGTCCTTAAGTGTGGTAGAATAGGATAGAGTACCTTTTGATCCCCACTGGATCAATTGAGAAAAACCTAAAGGATTGAGTAGCTAGGAGTGGTGTGTACTCTCAGTGAAACACCTTGAAGTCTGAGCAAGTTGGTGATAACAGCCAGACGGTCACTAATTGTATTGGGCTGAATGCTTTAGTGGAAATCCATCTGAAAGAGGATGGGACTGGATGTAGGAGGATTACACCACCTCTGAACCAGGATACATCTCGTGTCAATATTATTTACTCTGATCCAAGATCATCAGAGGACCTCACACAAGGGTCTCTGATTCAAGTTCATCAGAGGACCTCATACAAGGGTCTCTGACTCTAAATCATCAGAGGACCTCACTCAAGGGTCTCTGACTCAAGGTTATCAGAGGACCTCACTCAAGGGTTTCTGATTCAAGGTCATCAGAGGATCTCACTAAAAGATCTTCAAAGCAGAGCCTCCATTCTCCTATACACTTCAGTCACTAAAGATAAGTTGTCCTAAATACAAATACCCCTTCCCTCTTATCCTCTCATAAGAAAGTTACCATTCACAGTCAAAAAGAGGTCATAACTTCCGCTGCGATCCTAAATCTCTCAAAAGATTTTAGATCATCATACCTATGAGGGAAACTCTTTAAAAATTGAAAAGATCTTTAAAAGTCTATTCACCCCCCCCCCTCTAGACTTTTACCTCTATCAGGGACCATCAAGTGGTATCAGAGCGGGTGTTCCTAGAGTCAGTTTCTGACTAAGTTTGAACTAAAAATCCAAAACTCACTCATCTCCAAAAACTTTCAAAAATGGACAACCAACTTTCCAAAAATCTCCTGTTCAACTTCAACAAATTTGATGACTGGAAAATCAGAATGAAAGCTCATCTGAGTGCCCTACATGATGAAATGCTAGAAGTCATTACTGATGGACCCATCAAAATCATGAAGGTCATCACATCCAGAACCACTGAAGGAACAGATGATATGTACATTCCAAAACCAAAAATGGAATGGACAACTGAAGATAGGAAGAGAAACAACCTAGACAATGTTGCCAAAGACATCCTCTTCAAAGCTGTTGATGAATCCATATTTCCAAGGATAAGGAAATGTGAAACTGCCAAAGACGTATGGGATGAGTTAACAAAGATTGGAACTGGCGATGAACAAGAAAAGGACAACAAACTAACTATTGCTCTCAAGAAGTTTGAAGATTTCAGAATGTTGTCAAATGAATCCATTCATGATATGGAATCCAGATTTCTTAAAATTATTGCAGAGGTCTCTGATCTTGGGAAAACTCTCTCTCAAAAAGAGATCTCTCTCAAAATTTTAAGAGGACTACCATCAAGATGGGATATGAAGGTAACTGCCATGAGAGATAGCAGAGATCTCAGAAGTCTTTCAACGGATAAGCTCTTTAGTGATTTGAAAGCTTATGAGTTTGAAATGAAAGAGATAAGGGATGAAAAGGAGGAAGAGATCAAGACACTGGCCTTAGTGTCTGAACCTGGCACATCAAGATCAACAGAAAAATCACTTAACAATCTTTTCACTGATGAACAATTTGCAATGTTTGTAAGGAAATTCAAAAGGTTCATAAAGAAAGAAGGTTCATCCCCAAAGAAGCCATTTCCTCAACAATCCAGAAGATACAAATCAAGTGAGAATACTATTCTTTGCTACAACTGTAGACAGCCAGGACACTACAAAAATGAGTGCCCTCTCCCATTGGCACACAAATATCAAGGACAGCAGGATGCTACACACAAGGCAGGATTCAAAAACTTCAAAGGCAAACATCAAGCCTTTGTAAGTGAGAAAAAGAATGAAGAATCCCAAAATGATGAAAGCAGCTCAAGTAATGAAAGCTCTTCATCAGAAGACTCTGAAGAAGCACTACTCTGTCTAGGAGTCTGGCAAGATGCTGAAGATACAAGCAGCAGTACATCTCAAAATGACTCACTCAAATGTCTCATGGCAGATAACCACGACAAGGATGTTGAGGTAACCTCCTGTTCTTCCTATTGCTCAAATGATTCTGGACCATCTAGTATTACACTAGAATCTTTACTTCAAGATTTTCAGAAGGTCCAAAATCATCATGTTCTCTTAAGATCTGAAAATAAAAGACTAAAACAAGACACTAAGAACATTCATGATAAACTCTTAGTTGCCTTGTCCAAAATCAATAGCTTGACAGAAGAGAACATTGAGCTAAAAACAAAAATGAATAATCTCAGCCTGACTAGTGAAAATGTTGATCACACTCCTGAGATTATCCTTAAAAAGAAGAACAGAGGTCTTGGATACAAATCACCCACCAAGTACTCAGAAAACCAACTATCCACATCCAATACCATTAAAACAACAACACAAAGCCACCAACACTCCAATTCCCAAACAATTCCCACAAAAAGGAATATGTCTGCTCCCAAACCAAAATCCAAATACCTGTATAAACAAAACTTTCCTATCAAACAAACAAGTTGGCAACTCACCAATAAGACCAACTACCAACCAAAAAGGCAGCAAATTCCACCCAAAAGAAACCTCTCTCCTCCTACATCTAGGAGAAAGAAACTAAACATCTATACAGCTATCC